AGGTACTATCGGTGGAAAGACCCAGACCGACGTCGGAACCATGAATGACCTGTTCCTCGACGGTAAGCATGCCAATCCCAGGACCACGGCATTCACTTTCATTGACAATCGTGCTGTTATCCTACATAGCTCTGGGCATCTCTGATGAGGTCGAGGCTCAAGGCATGAAAGGCAATAAGAAGAAGAAATCGCGTCAGCTCGATGAGGACTTCGTGGTGAGCGAAATCGGTGCTCGTACCGTATTCAACCTGGAGGTTGCTAACTAGTCCTCGATTACAGCCTGTGTTACGTCCTATCGTTGAGCCAGAGGTGCAAAAGGTATCCGCTGCCATCCGTCAGTCGATGGAGAACAAGACCATGATGTCAAGACTGCTTCAACGTATAAAGGTGCGCCGAGTTTCTTCTGCAAGTTACCCTTGCTAGTGCGAATCAACTGATGTCGGATTTTAATTTTAAATTTTCTTTCAATTTTCAGATGACTGAAGAGCCCATGATTCAGCGACAACTGATGCGAATGCACGGATTCAGTCTGATGAGCATGATCTTGACAGAGCTAGCGGATGACAGGGAGATCATTCTCTTGGTAGGTCCTGCTTCTATATCCCCAGCGCTTCTGACAAACACGCTTACCGATCACTTCACGCGAGTAGGCTTTAGAAAGCATGAGCAAGTGGAAGCTGCAGATTCGGAATAAAATCGAGGATTCGAATGTGGAGCAGCCTGTCAAAGAACTGCAAGATAGTCCAGACTCGGAGATAAGCAATCTTGCGAAACAGGTGAGTGTCAACATGATTGAATACAGCAACCTCGTTCTCGAGCGAATAATACTGATGCGGTTTGATCAGCTGCTGGAGTATTGGTCTACACTCGAATTGTCGTACAAAATTCCCAGAGTGTCAAAGATTGCATCGGTAAGCTACCGCCCTTCATTTGGGCTATCCTCTGCCAAGAGCTGACTTCGAGTTGTCCCGCCTTTAGCTTGACGCCGAGGACGAGGCTGATACCACGACCATCGCCGAAGCTAATACGGGGCCGTCGACGCCCGCCGCCGCTCGAAGACATGACGCCTGGGAGAATAATGTCCAAGTGCAATTTGACGTGGCTCCCGTACGACCAAGAATACCTGTTCCCTCCTTCCACCGACCTCGACCTCCGCCGCCGCCTCCTGCCCCGGCTCAGCGACCAGCGATGTCAGCAGCAGCCTCATCTGACCGACTCAAGCTCGAAGCCATCATTGCCATGGCTCAACAGCCTCTCCCAGCCCCTATACTGCCTGCTCTTGCTCAGTCTCCCGCGGCGGAATCGAGCCGGCCAGGCAGCAGGTATGACGAAGAGGAAGATCGCCGAAAGCGGCAGAAGAGAAGCCACGGCTATGGCTCGTCGGAGGTGCTGGACGAAGCAAAGAAGGAGAAGAGGTTGACGATCCTAGTCGGTCAGGTCGTTGTGCGGAGTATGAACAAGTACAAGGAACAAATGGAGCATGACACTTTCAAGCGATACGCCAGAGAGGTAGGTTCTGCCTTGCACGATCGATTCAAACACAAAAGACTGCAACTGATTGCGTCTGCAGTGCACCACCATCCTCGTTGAAAAGGAAAAGAAAGGACATACCTACCCGACGACGCGTGTACCGACGCTATCGGAGGAGAAAAAGGCGAAGATGAAGGCTTTCACGAAAGATTTCACTCACAAGGTGCTCAAGAGGTTGAAAGAGAAAGGCAAGCTCATCCGAGTCGGTGCAAACCGTGAAATGCCTAGTCAAAGTGCGCGGTCAAACTCGAATCCAACGTCAACCCCTTCCCGGCTCGGCCGTGAGCTGGATACTAGCGAGTCGCAAAGTCTGGCAACGCCTACTCCTAGTGGAACGGTGATTGAAACGCCCCGAGATCAAGACGACAAGGAGGGTGACCTGGTCGACGACATTTTTGGGAAAGATGACGACGATATGGACATGGAGTTGGAGATGGATATGGAGGTTGACGACGACTTGGGTCAAACTTCGATCAGCGCGAGCGCCAAATCACTCTCGACCCAAACTCAGAGCAACGGTATTAGTCATAATCAGATCAGCCCGCACAGTCGAGACATCGGATCGTCGCCTCTATCGAGACCAGTACAGGCACCGGTGCCCTTGGAAGAGATCAAGTCCGCTCCGGTGACTGTGAAGAAGATGAATGGGGGATATACGGTTGAAAGCCTAGATCTCTCGCTTCTGAGCAAAGTGAACGGGAACGGAGGGGGCGGCAAGCCACAAGCCCCGCCTGCTCATGTCGGGCAGGTGCAGGAACGCAGTGCTATAACTCAGGAGGGTGTGCCGTCGGACGGTGTCGATACACCCAGAACGAGAACCAGTACCTACAGCGAAAACAACCTGTCCCCCGAGCAGTGACCCAGTCATCTATGAGGCCGGTTGGCGTGCACGACGAATAGGCTGCTTTCCGGGGCGGCGTCCGGTAGAGCACACTGTACTGTACGTGTAGCTAAAAACCGATCGGATTCAGTCAAATAAGTAGCTTAAAACGCTGTGAGATGCGAATGCATTATAACAGTGAAGTGAACTAAAGGTATCTGACACTACTCTCGAATAGCAGAACGGCAAAATAGCTACGGGCATTGGACTGGCCGGTTGGCCTGCGCCTTCGAGGCGTGTATTGTGCAGCTGTTGTAATCCCGTTAGGGACGTGAATTTAACCCACCCATATTCTGTACACGTCCTACAGGTAGATAGATGACCCGAGGTCAAATGCTGTACATGACACACATACGGGACGGATCCCAAATTATAGCTATCGGCGCGTTATGATTGTTCGATCGATGCTCCGAAAATATCCTTAAGATGTACCAATCATTGCCAGCTCTCCCACCTTTCCAATCCGGTCGCTGTCGCCTGACCAGTCGCGAGGGCTTTGACCACTTCCTCGGCCGAATATACACAATCGTTGACTCCCACTCCTCCGTACCCGTTGCCCACCAAACTCAGTCGACCCCTCCATTCTGAGCCTGCATCATCGTTATAGGGACTAGGGCCGGCAACCGATGGTGACATAGCAGCAGGAGTCAAAGCATGATGAAGCTCTCTCAACCTATCGCCGTGCCCAGGTAGATACGTAGGGATACAATTTGTATGTATTCTACCCACTTTGAGGATAGGTTCGACCTTGTTCAAATGCGGGAAAATCCCGTTTAGATGAGTGATAGCGTTGTGTGTCAGTTGTTCGTCATCGGAAGGTCTAGTCAGAGTAGGTTGGTATGTCGACCAATACGGACCGCCCATCATCACCGTCAACTTGGTGACCATCCCTTCGACGTCGTTGGAGGAGGTAGAGAAGGGCACAGCCGTGGAATCGAATATCACACCCAAGATTCCGTGAGGATTGAGCTGTGTCGTAGATGGACGGGGGATGAGGTAGCCGAAGCCGGCCGGGTGAATCTTATGGGGCGGTATGGGGTATATGATGTTGACTACGCCTACGGAGGTATATGGGTTTGCGTTGAAATTGCTGGTCACTTTGGATCGGACGGAATTTACCGACGATAGTAGCCTCGACAGTACAGGTGGAGGTAAAGCCGATATTATATGGTCGCATTCGATCGTCTCCGCGCTCGATGTGTGTATTCTGACGACTCTAGTGTCGGCATTGGCAGTGGCAGTAGAGGACGAGGAAGGCGAGACGACTTCCATAGCCGTAGCTGATTGACCAAGTCGGGTATCCACCTTACCATCCCTTATAAGTTGCTCTAACAATCTATTTGTCAATGACCTCAAGCCTCCTCTCAATCCGTACAAGCTCCACTCTTTCCTCTTTCGCCCCAGCTCACCGAGCTCGTCCCATTCCTTCTGCTCCAAGCTCTTCTCCTCTGATGACTTGACACCGCGTAACATACCAATGAGCACTGAGCCATACTTGACCTCTGCGTCCCACAGTATGGGGAACGCAGCTCTAACAGAGAGCTGTGAGGACGAAGTAGCGTAGATTCCGTGTACCATGGCAGAAGCGAGGTTCGTAGCTATCTTGTCCCCGAAACGGCGCCTGAAAAAGGAGTCGACAGATTCATCGTGCCCTCGTCCTCGTGCAGGATCAGGATCCGGATCCAAGCGCCGGCGCGTTCTGAATGGCTCGGAAAGGGCGGAGGGGACAAGCCCTTTGAGAAGAGATGGCTGTGGTCCGAGGAGGGATAAAGGGGACGAAGGGAGGGCAGTAAGTTTATTACTTGATGTATCGAGCAAAAAGCGGTTCTTGGCGGAAGGATGGTGGTGAGTTACCGGTATTATCGAGTCAAGCATGTCAAGATCTCGTAGCTGAGATCAAGACATACGCGAGCAAGCACCGCAGCTATGGTCAGCACATTGCCTCTTTCTGTCCTGACCGATCGTCCACCATATCCTGCTAGTTGCAGAGGGATACTTGGGTTCCTTGAAATGAGGGATCAGAGATGAGTTGATTGTACTACTCACCAGTCTCAACATCCCGGGGGCGCCTTTACTGCCCTTTGGGCGGATACTTCTCGGACCACTTTCCGTCGTCACGGTGCCCTCTCTGATCACTCCCTCAGCATCTCTGAACCCGATTTCCCGAATGCTCGAATCGATCCATCCTCCGACCCTTGAGGCTGAATCGAGCAGGGTGATCTTTGAGGTTGGCAGCAGTCGTGTCAGGTGATATGCTGTGGTAAGGCCTGATAGTCCGCCGCCTAGCACTGCTATACGTCGAGGAGGCATCTCTCCGGCGGATCTGTGACTCTGCAGTGACTATGCTATGGATGAAACGACGATACATCGTTAGTCAAAATTGTGAACAGAGCGAGCCGAACGGACTTGAGAAGTGGAGGGCGATGTCGCACATACGCATCATACATATACATACACCGGAAACAACCGAGATCGATCGCAATGCGAACCGCATCATCCCGTGAAGGAAGCACGCGTGAGCGCATGCGTAGTTCTCTGAGACGCTAAGGACAAGCGTGACATGCAGACCAAGCAAAAATACAAAAACAACTGCACTAACGGCGATTCGAACGCCGGTCGACTCCTAATCGCTCTTCCTGCATCCTCGAAAGGATGGTGATTGGAAGGGAGCCATCCTAACCACTAGACGATTAGTGCTGCTCACGTGATGAGATGAAGAGCCCAAATCCCAAATGATTATATACCTGCAACACCCTCGACAGATCACCTGTTGACCGTCTCGATCCGTTGGACGATCACCCGCATCGTGTCAAATGTCCGCATCGATCCGCAGTGCGTCGACCTTGACTGCCTGCGCTTGCAGCTGCTTGCCATACCTGAGCACGATGCAATCATCTCGCATTCAAACGGAACTATTCAAGGTGCGGTTGGCTTATCGCAGGTTGAGGGGATCATGCGGTCACACAAGCGCATGTGTAGGACGGATATGGCCGAATAGGTGTGAATGCACCATGACCACCGATGACCGATGACGTTAAGTCCAATCGCTGGAATTTCGCCCCTTTCTGTCAGCCAGCGAGCGAGCGCATACACAGCGCTTATTATGATTGCATGCATGATTCATTCAACCCGATAACCTCATTGCGATGCTCGCCATCGTTTCTTTCCCATGATCCAGTAGTAGCAGCTTCGACCTCGCACGATACTTATACCCTCGAAATACCAGTCGTTGACAGAGTCATACGCTCGCTATGTTGTACCGATAGACTCTCGATCGTCTCTGCTACCTATAGTCTCAATATCGACATAATCGGTCGATCGATCGCTTTCTGGCTTAATCTCACTTCACAAGAGCTCCAAGATTGTCTTTGGCGAGCCGAGGGACCTGTTTATGATCTCGTTACAAACGAACACTGTCGTCATCAGACTCTTGTCCTACTTGGTGGGGACGGTAGCCAGCCTGCAGCTGCGTTCATCTTGATTCAAGGGGTCAATGGGGCCTTATCGTCAGTTTTAGACTCAGTCATATCTAATCCGAACAGTACACAGCAAGATGTCCTCCAAATTGAACCAACCTACTCGCCCCACCCTCAACGCACACGCTTCTCTCACCGCTCACCTTCGCTCGGACCATAACTCGAGGCCATCTTCGCCATCGGTTCACGGCCAGCAACACGAGTACGTGCCCACATTCGACGATATAGGTATCACCTCGACAGCCCTGGACGAAAGGGCACTTTTTGACGAAAGTAACTCTGGTGCGAACACGCCTTTGCCTACACCTGCCCCACACTATGGCTCGACCGGGCTTAGCACGCCTTATTCGGAGGATCAAGCTGAAGAAGCAGAGGAAGGTGGGAGCGCTCCCGAGGACATTGAGAGAGAGGGATCCATCGCCAGGAGACCCAGGTGGCGTAGACCCAGTCCTGGCTGGGTATACCCCTTCATTATAGGGATTCCTCTATGTTTAGGTATGGCGGCCGCACCAAAGCAGGAACTGTTCATCAACCTTGCTTGTCTCGCGCATCCGCCCAGCAGCACGAGCCAAAGCCAGTCTACCAACGGTCTTCACTCGAATGGGCGCTCGGAGGAGATATACGACCGATCATTGTCGACCTGGGACGCCGTTCTTCCCGTGTTGACTCCCCCTGGTATCGATTCCGATAGTGCAATCGGGGTGATCACTCCACCATTGGACAACACGACTAGCTTGCCCCCTGTACTCACTCCTGCCGACCGGTGGTTCCTCAGACTCCAGCATGATATGTATGAATACGAGCTCCATCATCACAAATCGTCTTCCGGTCATATCGGAGAAACCACGACCCTTCCCCCAAAGGCAAACCCGACTTCCCCCCTGCCGAGACCGGATCGACCACTTCCTGGCGAAGGAGGCGCAGACAGATCAGGTCAAGAAGATGATGATGATGAAGATCCGACCGTCCCAGAAGGAGGAGACAGGAATCCGGAGAAAGGCAGAAGGCCGTACAAAGAGATCGACCCCAGGCTCTGTAAGAAGGACGTCAAGGTACAGGCAGCAGCAGCCAAACTTACCATGAGTGCGTTTCATATGTACTCCAAACAGTCGTTCATTCACGTCAAATGCTGACAGTAATGTCGAACGGGTTTGTCTTGCAGCCATGACAACCACAATGGGTGTGCTGGCGGCTCTTACGACTGGATTCTGGGGCCAGACCTCGGATAGACTCGGTCGAACCAAAGTGATGGCGTTTGTCGAAATCGGTCTCTTGATGAAGTAAGTGGTGAAAAAGATGATTTTGCGCAGGCGGACATCCTCCTCACCGGACATCGCTTCACAATTGCTTGTTATGATGCCGGACTCGGGTGCTAAAATATTGATATTCTTGTAGCGAACTATGTTTCATCGCCGTCGCGACCTTCCCATACCTGGTCCCTGGCGGATATCGATTCCTCCTTTTGGGTCCTACAATCGAGGGCCTAGCAGGCGGATACTCGACAATCACAGCTACAGTCTATGCTTATGTCTCAGACGTGACTCCTGGCGGAAGCAGGGTCACCATCTTCGCCAGGATGAGTGGCATCTTCATGGCTGGTTTCGCACTCGGACCTGTTCTTGGCTCAATGCTGATCACTTGGACAGGAAACATGTAAGCATGCTTTAGCTGTGGACCAGGCTTTACAACCCGTGCTCACCTCGCTACTCTTCACAGCATGACGCCCTTCTACATCAACGCTATCATATACGCAATTTATATCCCGCTTGTCATCTTCATTTTACCCGAGTCTTTGTCGTCAGAAGCGCGTCTTCAACTGGCGAAAGATGCAAAGCTTAAGAAAGACGAGGCCGCGAGACGAGAGGCGGCAGAGATGGAATGGGAGAATGAAACGCCTGCCGTACATGGTCAAGGCGATGAAACAGATCCTCTGCTCAGCGGGTGGAGCAGAACGTCATTCTCTGGTCCTGGTGCTTCCAAGGTCCAAAAGAAAACATTGGGCAGGCTCAGAAGGACGACCAAGAGATTGTTTGGGTTCTTAGAACCGTTGGCGATCTTCATGCCCACCGATAAAGAGAATGGTAAGGGGAAAGACTGGAATCTTACCTGTGTTGGAGTCGCAATCTTTTTCAGTTCAATGGTATTCGTGAGTTGTCAACCGCACTGCACACATGTCATCGGCATCACGCGAAAGGTGAAGGCTGATTCTTGTGAGTGTAGGGTATTATGCAGATCAAGGGACAATATACCTTCTTCGCGTTCGGGTGGACAGCGGCACAGGTGAGTTGAGGTTGTTGCTAGGCATTATGAAGCTGGACAAGGGAGCAGCTCTGACTCTACCGTTGTAGCTCGGTCCCTTTATGTCACTCAGCGCTGTTTCGAGAAGTTTCGTTCTTATTGCCATCGTACCGGGTGAGTGGGCAGGACTGAGAACCGATCTCAGTAAAGAATGAAGCTGATAAATTGGTTCTTGATTAGCGGTCATGCGATACATCAAGCCACGATTCCTGCACGCCGAGACGGGTCAACCTTCAAGCGCGAGTCCGCAGCCGGATCTCGTTACTTCCACCGAAAGCAATTCTGGAACTTCAAATGCGGGGAAAGACGACACATCCGCTGCTACTTCGGCTGCCCCACCCCAGCGATCGGCTCGTCTCGACCTCATCACTGCCCGAGTCGCCATCATGCTTGAGATCGTGCCATACGCTTTCATGGCGTTCGCCCTTCAGCCGCCTCAATTCATCTTGTGCTCCGTCCTGACGACTCTCGGAGCACCGGCATCACCCGCTATCAATTCCCTCGCTCTCTCGCTTCTGCCAGACGCTTCTCAATCCGGTAAACTCTTTGGCGCTCTATCCGTCTTATCCGCTATGGGCTCCTCTCTCCTTTCTCCGTTGTTGTTTGGGACACTGTTCGCAACGACTGTTGGAACTTGGCCTCAGGCAATCTTCGCCCTTACGGCCTTATACCTGGTCTTAGCGCAAACAGCCATGCTCTTTGTGCGATTGGACCGAGGGAAGACCCACTCGGCATCTAATGCGGACGTTGAGAGTGCTGTCGCCAATGCTGGCGGGCACGCGAATGGGAGTGGAATCAATCAGGCTACTACATCTCGAGTCAAGCAGGGTCGAGGCAGGGACAGGAGGGTTAAGAGGGTCAGCACGTCTTCTGGTTCAGCTTCGGGCTTCGCCAACGTCAGCGGTTACGCTAGATCCCACTTGTCGCAACCCGAGTCATCAATCTAATGCTTAGGTGCGAGCTCCGTTCTGAACGTCCGAAGGACCGCCGGTCAGCTTTCTGGCTTTCTATTTCAATCTCAGCCAAGCAAAGCGACGCAGAGCAGGACACGGAATTATATTTGTTGTTTGTTGATCGTATCTGATGAATAGCTTATAGATGTTGTACCCCCTCCTCGATCGAGTTCGAATATTGTTTGTTGATTTTCAGGTATCTTACTTTACTACCTTCTAATATGTTAATATTGTTCAATCTCACGGAATATACAGTAGAGTATTGCGAGCGTTCTCGTCTTTGCTTGGGGTTCATCATTCGTACACGCAAAATATAATGAATGAATGAACTTCGCCATATATGATTTTCAGATTGCATCTTGTGCTGAATCCATGGTCCAGGTGAAGGCCGGGCATAAAAAGTTCCGCCCAATGAACGACAGCCTGACTATGAAGAGACACAAGTCAGACGAGGAGCACCGTTTTTTGTCTCTTCAGCGTCTGCGAATGCTCGATCCGCCCTCCATAACTGCAGGATTATCATGTTCGCCGTCAATAAAAGTCATGCATACAACGTCGACTTGGCATGGTGGCCTCAGTGTTTCTACAACAAGCTGGGAAGGATCATCGTGTGTCTCTTTTTACTGTGCACAGCACAGAAACTTCCGCTCACGCGATGCCGATGACTACTTCAGATTCTGCAGTGCCTTATGAGGATGGCTGTACTCGTGCTGGATTTAGGCATGGCCGCCCATCATCCTGCCCCAATTGCCCAGCTCAGGACCTAGGAGATTGGCGCCGGGTCCCTTGAAATACGCTACGACCTCATGCGGGGACAGTGTGCTCCGTACTCGGATGAAATTTGGCTTCATGTTGGTCGATGAAGTCGGTATCAGGAGTGACAGGCGGACGAGATGGTCGAATGCCTGTCGTCGCACGCGTCATCGAGCAAGATTTTGCATGACAGTCAGCTCTTCGCTACGGAGGTAAA